ATAATTAAAATAATTTTTATGATATCAAATAATATTTGTTTTAACTAGTTCGCGTTAGCTTTACGGAGCCGATAGTTCATTGTTCTTTGTTTGTAACAAAATTCACTTAATTCTATGTCTAGTAGGAGTTGGGCCGAATACTCGCGGCTTACTCGAGGTTATAGAGGTACATTGTCAAAGGATAGGATCAGGGGAGGAGCTTGGGGGTAAGGTTTCGTTGTCTCATCAGAGCGTTGTCACCAGTATGAACGGTAGTGAGGTTCTAGTTTCGTCTGGAGTTCGACCGGCTATGGTGACCAGTGGGCAACGATGAGACTCATCGAGACGGGGGTACAAGACAAACAAAAACTAATAAAGAGATTTTTTTTTTTTTTTTTTCTTTATTTTTGTGATTTTTAGCCGTAGGCTAGTTCATCACATTTGATAATCGAGGGTCAGGCTTAGGGCCTGCCTCGAAAGAAAGCGTTTCAGTCTATCATTACATAACGTACAACTGGCTCTGATTACCCACCAAAAGGGACAGACAACATTTTAAAAAACTTAATGTAAAGTGGGAGTTACATCGGGACTGTGGTGAGGAATGGATGCGCGAACAAGGTAGAGCTCCACCGTAAGAGACAGTGCCCCAGTCCGGCAGAGATACCCCGACGGCAGGAAAATAGGAAGGTGAAAGAACACGGACAGCGCAGCCCACGACGAGAGGGCTAGATTTGGTTGTATAGGTGAGCGTCCTTCAAGAATGCAATCAGCGCAGTCAACGTCGAGGGGTCGTTGCCAAGTAGCTCCCTGATGCTCTCTGGGAGTCGGTGTTGTTCGCGTAGCCTCTGAAACTCTGGGCAGACACACAGCACGTGTTCCACCGAGGCAGGGATGCTGCAGATTGGACAAACCTTGTGGAAGGGTGTCCCACCAAAATTGTGGGAAATCCTCGCATGGCCGGTCCGGAGTCTTGAGATAATCCGCTGGTCTTTGTACTTGTGGCTGTCTTGCCAAGGTCGTACGGTTTCTTTGATCTTTCGCAGGAGGGTGGTGCGTGACTGAAACCATTCCTCCTGCCAGGCTTCCATGATGATATTCGCAATCCAACGCCTGACGTCTAGGAGTGGTACGTTCCTGGTGAAGCGGGGTCCGGATGGACCAGATCCCTGATCGTTTCCAGGAACACCGCAGTGCCCGGGAATCCACGTAAAAACGGTTGAGGGTGGGGCAAAACGTGTAATGGCTTGTATCCAGGGGTGGCTCGGGGCTTCGGCTTCCAGCGCCTGGATGACGCTGTGTGAGTCCGTTAGCACAAGGATCGGTTGATCTGCAGGAGTGATGGCTGCGTCAAGAACAGCAGCGGCTTCTGCGGAAAAAACGGAACACTCCTCCGGAAGACTTTGACTTGTTGCGGTGTTTGGTCCTGCCACTCCGAGTCCCACTCCGGCCCGTGATCGCGATCCGTCCGTAAAGCGATGAACGTGCCCCGGATAAGCCGACCTAAGAAGTTCTGCAACAGAGCGCCTCAACGCTACAGAGTTATCTCCGGCTTGGAATCCTCTCTTAATCCGCTTATCTATTTTGATAACGTTTGATCGCCAACTTTTCTCTCCATGCCAGTGGACCCTGGCCACCGGGGGGAGGTCTACGTTGGCTGCAGTGCGGAGGGCTCTGTTCCCCTCGTTGAGGAGAAAGACCCTATCGTTCCCGGATGTCTTAGCAGCGAGGGCAGCGGCTTTGGTGGCAGAGGCTGCAGCAGATCGATAGCGGAAAGGGAGGACTCCGGTTTCTGCACAAGCGGCGTCTGCGGGCGTGGAAGGTAGGAGGCCGGATACGATGCGTACGTAGGTATTGTATACCGGAGCGAGGATGCGGTTCAGCTTCTCGGTGGCTAAGCAGGTAATTTCGAGGCCGTAGAAAAGTCGACTGTCGATAACAGCCCGGGCGACACGAAGGCGGATCTCGCGGTTACTGGAGCGGTGCGGACGGGAGATTGTCCTGACGATGTTGATGCGGCTACGGCAGTTTTCTTTCACCGTTCTGAAGTGTTGGTCGAAACTTAGAGTCCGATCCAGAACTACCCCCAGAACGCGGACTGTTTTCTTAAGCGGAATTGGATGGTCCTGGATGGTGATCGGTGGTCCCCGAATCAGATGACCCGAGTGGCAGATATGGCACCGTACACTCTTTGGTGCGGAGAGCTGAAAACCAACAGAAAGCGCCCACCTGCTGACGGCGGAGACAGCTGCTTGGGCTATATTCCTGGTCCGTATAGTCGTTCGTCCCGTTACGACGATGAGTATGTCATCGGCATAGACGATTACGTGCACGTTCTTGGGCAGTCGGCTGAATACCCCGTTCATTGCCACCAGGAATAGCGTTACCGCTATGACGGATCCCTGGGGCACTCCAGTTTCCTCGGGGAACGGATCCGATCGAGTGTTCCCGACAGTCACCTGGAAGGTACGATCAAGGAGGAAATTCCGTACAAAATGTGTGATGTGGCCTTTCAGGCCCCAGCCGATGAGCTGCCTGATGACGCCGGGCGTCCAAGTCCTGTTGAACGCCTTTGAAATATCAAGGGATACTAACTCCGCATGGTGACCGTTGTCCTGGGCTTCCTTGAGTACATTTCCGAGGGCTGCAAAGTAAGTGGAGGAGCCATGTCCTTGTCGGAATGCATGCTGCCGTTCGTCAAGGAGACTGTTTGACTCCAGGAACTGCCTAAGTCGACGATTTACCATTCTCTCCATCACTTTTGCCGCGCAGCAAGTGAGCGCAATCGGCCTAAAGGAGGAGGCTTCTCCACTCGCCGCATTGATCTTTGGAATGGGCACTACCAGGCTTTGTTTCCAGAGGTCCGGGTACGAGTCAGTGAGCCATAGGTCGTTGAAGAGAGCGAGTAGCCTCGTTTTTCCGTCGAGGGAGAGGTTTTTTAACACCGGGTATCCAATCTCGTCCGGCCCGGCAGATTTACCAGTACTGCTGCCGAGGGCGAACTGAAGCTCCCGGAAGGTAAGAGCATCGTTGATCTGGAGGGAAGGGACATCGGATGGAATTCGCAGGTCGCGAATGCTGCTTGTGGAAGGTTTGACGCGCTGGACGAAATCGCTGTCGTAGCCACTGATAGCGGACAGGCCGGCAAAATAGTTCCCTAAATTGTCAGCGATGTCCTTCGGTTCTGAGATCGTGTTGCCATGAGCTTGGATAGTAGGTGGAGTAGATCGCCGCTTGCCACTGAGAGCGTTGACGCGATTCCACAAGTCGCTCGACGATTGGGATTCATCGATTGAATCCAGGAAGTCCATCCAGCTGGATCGCTTCGCGTCGCGGATCACCTGTCTGCACGAGAGATGGCGTTCTCGGTAGACCTTCAGCGCTTCCTCCCTACCAGGATCGTCTAAGGCTAGGCGCTTAAGCCGGCGTAGGGCTTTGCGTCGTGCTTTTACCGCACATTTGGTATCCTCGTTCCACCAACGTAGGGCTTTTCGCCCGGGTACGCTACCAGTCCTTGGGATGGATAGTGTTGCAGCGTCGTATAGTACTTCCGTGAAGCTGGAGATATCGTTCGGTTCGCGTTGCTGAAAGAGAGCGTCGGATTTCTCCCTGAAAGCGTCCCAGTCGGCTTCCTCGAAGCGCCACCTGGGTCTCCGGGTCGTTGGGGGGACCGCACCTACGAAAAGCTGTATGCGGATTGGGTAGTGGTCACTACCGTGCAGGTCGGTACAGATATTCCACTGTGCCTTGTCTACGATAGATCGGCTGGCAGTGGCAATGTCGATCGCGGTGGTGTGCCGTCCATTAAAGAAGGTGGGAGCGCCATCGTTCAGCACCACCAAGTCCTCTCTCTCAAAAATGCTCGCCAGGATAGAGCCTCTGGGATCTGGGCGAGGGCTGCCCCAGTCCGGATGGTGCCCGTTGATGTCGCCGACGAAGAGCCGCGGTTCCGGAAACTTGGAAATAACTGCACTTAAGACCCCATCCAGATTGGCTATCCGTCCGCAGGGCAGGTACGCACAGCCGATAGCTAAGTTAGAGGCGTTCTTAAGGCGGACGCCGACGATTGGCAGGTTAGTTTCGAGGTCAAGAACATCGTGTGGAATGCTCCTAAGCACCCCGATGGCCACGGAGTGCCTGAAATTGGTGCAACGCTTGTAAGTCCAATCGTATCTCCCTCCCAGCGAGCGATTGAGTTGGTCGGTTGTGACTTTGTTGACCTCTTGTAGAGCGATTATCCAGGGGGCATCGCTTTGGCAGAGAAGCTCCAATTCCCCTAGGCGGCCATGGAATCCGTTTATATTCCACTGGAGAACAAGGTTCACCGGCTTGGGCAGTGCAGGCGTGGGGTACAGGATGGTAGACTCGGCGTTGTCACGGTTTTGACTGCCACTCGGGTTAACGGGCTGGCCAATATCGTGCTGGAGAAACCCATTAATGTTCCAATCCGAATGAGACGGAGCCCCACCAGAGGCAGGAGGAGGAATTCCTCCCACCAGAGGCAGGGATGTTCCAACGGGCGAAAGGAGGTTCGGGTGGTTCTCGGCTGTGTGGTTGGATAGGTCATCATCGGACGGAGGCCCACAAAAGCCAGGCGGGGGAGTTCCGTTGGGCCGAGGCGATCTTGGCGTTGATGACATGGTAGTGGAAGACGCCGATGGACTTGGGCCGATGACCGAATGAGACAGAGCCCCACCGGGGGCAAGCGGAGGCGTTCCGCCCACCCCGGGCAGGGATGTCCCAACGGCTGAGTAAAAGGAGATTGCTTTCGGAATACGTAGGTTGCTGATAGGCTCCGGTATGGTGCTCGGTGATGCTGTTGAATGAGACAGGGCCACACCCAGAACAGGCGGAAGCGTTCCGCCCATCCAAGGCATGGATGTCCCAGCAACGGAAAAAAGTGTACTGCGCGTCGTATTGCTTGGCTTGGTTCCCTCGAGGTCCTTCGGGGAATGGGCGTAGCTTCCCTTGTCCATCCCGATACTTTGCGGTAAGTTCATTCCCTCGTCGTCCATAGAGGGATGGGTGTTGCCACCCTTGTGCGTCTCTCTTCCAGTTCCCTCCCGGTGCCGGGGGGATATCGTCGGTTCCGGTGTGGGAAGGGCGTCCGCACCAACGGGGCCCCGGCTACCGGGGGATATCACTGGGCTCTTCACATGAGTCTTCGTCCTGTGGTCGCAGAGGGTGTCCGCCAGTTCCGGTGGGGTCCTAGCGTCCGCACTGACGGTGCCCTGCGTACCCAAGGCACAGAATTCTTCATCTGGATTGTCTGGGCGTCGGGGGGTGTCCAAAGGTTCTGGTACGAGTGTAGCTTCCAGTCCAATGGGGCCCCGGCTACCCGAGGCAAGTCGCAGACACGGTTGATGATGGTGGCTGGAGATTGAACATGGTATAGTACTGGCGTGGTCCGTTAGAATAGTCCGGGTGGATGGCTTAGGTGGCGTGGGCATTGGAGGTAGTAGAGGAAGTAGCTACTACGTCCGTTTCTCCTTTGAATCGATCTTCTTGGCCGGCGATGTAGGAGACTTCAGGAGCGGCTTCCGTAATTTTGGGAACTTGGTCAGAGCGAGGGGGTCGCCGTGAATGGTCAAGTTCCGAAATGGGGCGCTTGTTGTTTTTGGGTGTGTAGGAGTTGGGCAAAGGAGTGTCCGGTTTCTTGGCAGGGGTCGGGCTATTGTCAGGCGTAATCGTTGAATCACTGGCTCCATCCGAGGAGAAGATGTCACTACTGACGTCCACCAAGGAGGCGTTCGGGTTGTTCGAGGTGCTGGGACTGGAAGGAGCTGAGGCGGTGTTGGTTGAAAGAGCTGTAGTAGAGTTTGTCGGAATTGCAGTACTGGGCTTGCCAACTGTAGGACTGCTAGAGGGTGCGGTAGCTACCTGCAACGAGGATTCAACGTTGCGAAGTCTTCGTTGCGTTTCGATTTCGGTGACCATCAGCGCTTTGATGGATTTCTGGAACCTTTCCTGCATGGCCAGCATCAGGTGGTTGTTGTTCTCCATCTGTTGTTGAAACAACGAAGCGAAGTCAGTTGGAACTGGGTTGAGAGGGACAGCAGTCGGATCGGTGGAAAAGGTCGAGTTGCCTAATAAAGATAATAAAGACTAATAAAGAGAGACAAAAGACAAAGGAATTAAATTCTTATACTAGACATTTGAAGAAACACATAAGCCGACTGCATATAGCAGATATCGCGAGTTCCCAACACGTCTCTGATAGGAACATAGGGCATAGGGCCTCAAGGGTATTCAAAAGTCACTCTCTGGCGGTGTCATTATCCGTACATTGCCAAACTGCGTGATCGATGTCATCGTAACCGTTTTCACACCGACAGATGTTGCTGTCCACGAGGTTTATTCTATTGAGATGAGCATCTAGCGAGTAGTGGTTGGACATAAGTCTACTCATCACGCGATTGAAGTCCCGACTTAAGTCCAAGCCTTTAAACCACGCTCTCGAAGAAACATTAGGAATAATTGAATGTAACCACCGTCCAAGATTTCCATTGTCCCAATCGGTTTGCCAACTCGAAAGGGTACTCTGACGCACTAAATGGTAAAATTCATCGTGTGAAATTTGCCTGTCATAAAATTGCCTTCTTGCGCGCCCACCTGTGATTGAGCAATGTGAGGGGACCCATACAAAGGTAATCATATATGATCTTTCGACCAGCACGCTCATCTGTTCCCTTACCTTTGACAGGAAATAAGAATAGTGCCTACCTTGTTTCATCGACCGAATAGCCTCAATCGAACTGAGACTATCCGAGAAGATGAAGTAATGGTCTGCGGGCATGTTGGAAATCATCCCCAATTCGAAGTTGATTGCTGCCAGCTCAGCAAAAAAACGGAACAAGGTTCCTGGAGTTTGCGGAAGGCGCTAGAGTTTTCATTGAAGACACCGAAGCCAGTGGCTGAGACGAGACCCGTCTGTAAAATATCTGTTTACGCAATTGACGTGTTGGTACTTTTCAGTAAAAATACGCGAGATAATAATAGGTCGAAGTTGATCGAGAATCCCATGAGGTGCTTGTTTCATGGTCAGATCATATTCAATTGAGGAACTGCGATTGGTGAAGTGAGCACGGTCTGGAGTGTAACAAGGAAGACACATATCTGACGATATGTAGTGGTGGTAGATTCTCATAAATCGAGATTGTGTGTTCAGCCCAAGAATTTCTTCAAAATTTTCAATTATAAGTGTGTTTGTCACTCCGCATTTGATAATTATTCTGATAGAGAGCTCCCAGAAACGGTTCTGGAGGGGTGTTACTCCTGCCAGAACCTCGAGACTCATGTTATGCGTTGAGTGCATACAGCCGAGAGCAATACGCAGACAACGATATTGAATTCGTTCCAATTTTATTAGGTGACATTTTCTTGCCGAGAGAAAGCAGAAAGAGCCGTACTCTACTGCCGCTCTTCGCATGTCGGTCCCATAGTCGTTTTTGTCAAAACTGAGTTTTTCAATGCAAATGGTAGCAAACTACCCATATTTTCATAATACTGGATGAACTTATCAACTTTGTTCTGACAAAGTTTAAAAAGACAGTCACATTGGTTGTCCCATCACATAAGAAGCAATCGTACGAAGCAAACTTAAAACGCGATTTTCTCGGCTTGTCGATTTTCGCTATGGGACGGACATGCGAAGAGCGGCAGGTCTAGAACAGAGAGAATTGTTGTTTTATAAAGCATTATGAGGTCTCCCGGATGAGAACCCCACCATGTGCCGCAAATTGAACGGTGAAAGTTGATCCTCTGCTGACATTTTTGCTTCAAATACGTAATATGGGTATTCCAAGTGCACTTTGAATCAAACCAGACCCCAAGGTACTTGAAAGACAATGATTGAGTAATGTTTCTGCCCAAAAGATTAAGATGCATTTGGGCTGGGTACCGCTTTCGAGTAAACACTACCAGTTCAGTGTTCTGCGGCGAGAATTCCCTAGATTCCTAGCCCAAGACGACAAGTTATCTAAGGAACTTTGCAATGGTCCTTGCAAGTCCACGGCATGTGGACCTCTTACGGAAACCACACCGTCATCTGCAAGTTGTCTTAGCGTGCATTGTTATGCCAAACAGTTGTCGATATCTTTGACATAAAAGTTATAAAGAAGAGGGCTGAGACATAAGGCTTGGGGCAGTCCCATGTAGCTAATTCTGGAAGTTGTCAGTTGTCCAAGGGAAAAGTTCATTTGCTTTTCTGACAACAAATTGTACAAGAAATTATTTAAAATTCCAGAAAGTCCACATCTGAGCAGATTGTCTGACAGAATTTTAATGGAAACTGAATCAAAAGCCCCCTTAATGTCCAAGAATACTGAAGCCAATTGCTCCTTGTGCGCAAAGGCCAGTTGAATATCTGTGCAGCGCCAGACAATCGTTTGTTCCTTTGCTCTTGCGGAACCCAAACTGTGTATTTGATAGCAAGTTATTTGTTTCGACCCACTGATCGAGTTTCTCCAACAATTTCCTAATGCACGAAAGCATAGCAATCGGACGGTATGAGTTATGGTCAGACGCTGGCTTGCCAGGTTTTCGAATGGCTATTACTTTGACCATTCAGGCGGAATAATGTTATTTTCTAGTAAGGAATTGAATAAGTCTAGCAAGCGTCTTTTAGCGATGTCTGGAAGATTTTTCAGAAGATTGAATTTAATCATATCGCTTCCCGGTGAGGAGTTGTTCGATGAAAGAAGAGCCATAGAGAATTCCAGCATTGTGAATGGTCTATCCAGAGAGCCGCTGCTCGGAGATACTTCTCGAAGCATGTGTTGTGCTGGAACTGAGTCCGTACAGACCTTTTTAGCGAAATCGAACATCCATCGGTTGGAGTATTTTTCACTCTCATTAGAAGATAAGCGTTTACACATGTTCCGAGCCACCCTCCACAAGGTGTTCATTGAGGTTTCTCGTCAGAGTCCCTCGACGAAATTGTGCCAGTAACCGCGTTTTTTTGCTTTGACTAATTGTTTCAGCTTTGTCTCAAGCTTTGAATATTCCTCGAAGTATGTGGAGGTTTTGTGTCTACAAAAAGCTTTGAAAGCATCAGATTTTTCTACATACAATTTTGTGCATTCTTCGTCCCATCCAGGTGTGGCTGGTCTCCTTTTGAAGGGCGCACTTGGAACTTTTCTTTTTTGTGTTTCCAGTGAGCTTTTGTATATCAAATCGGCGAGGAATCGATATTCTTCCAATAGTGGAAGCAATCGATATTCTTCCAATAGTGGAAGCAATCGATATTCTTCCAATGGTGGATCAAATGGAACTCGAGATGGTTCTGCAGAGTGAGGGGCACACTTAATTGAAATGATGATTGGCAAATGATCGCTACCATGGGGATCATTGATAACCTTCCACAGACATTGGAATTATTGATAGCGATCTTGAACACAAAGATATGTCGAGTCGGCTTTCTCGAGCCGGAGGTTTTGCTATACGTGTCGCTTCACCAGTGTTAAAAATAGCAGACCCCCTTCACTCTTTGGATTTTTTAGAGACAGATAACAGCGCCAAACGGTTTGTTACGAGACAACGTTGAACTGCAGCGTTGGAAGAAAATACGCACACCAACATCTATACATGTACGAACCCACACAACTGAGCAGACGGTACAGCGCAAATCTAAACACGAAGCGGTGTCATCACTCATCGTCATTATTCAGCTTCGGCTACTTCCGTTTGCGTTTGCTTCTACTTGCTACTTGCTACTTCCTACGTTATAAAATAGGAAAGTAATGATAATTCCAATGTAATTTTTGAATAGAATGCGTGCTGCGTTGGCCAAAGAAGACGACATATTTTATTACGTTTAGCAATGATTTCGATACGTTGCATTTCCAGTGACTGGGGTGTTGAAATAATTCTTTAGAGAGAGTGAATGCTTTTCCCATGTTTACTTCTATGCTTATTAAGATTCTTTAGAGCATCAGCTCCGCAAATCATCAATTACTATTAGAGATTTGCATCTTACTGATACCGGTGGTATATTGGAAACTCTTTCGCTCGAAAGCAAAACATATTACAAGCACATCATGATGCGCGCTTGGATGTGTGATTGTTTTCTCAGGTGTTTCTGTTGCGTATTAAGTGGTAATGATTGAAAATCGGAACAATCACAAACAAGTAAGAATCTTGCTATCGCAATATAATGATGATGACTTCGAGGATGATATCGTCCTCTTTCCTCGGCTGATCATCAACGTCCGCATTGACATCTATCATGCTGACACCTGTCAGTTATTGAGCCCAGGTGGTGAAGTTGGTGGGGAACTCCCAACAGTTTCAATGTGCACTCAACAGATAGCACTGTGATCACATACGGGTGGTAATTATATGCCTTGTTTGAGGAATCGATTAGTGGGATATCTTGTTAATTAGATATCTTTGAAAATAGTCAAGTTGAAATCGTCGCATAAATCGTAAAAAATAGCCGCCCTATTGTCATCGTATAGATCGTCCCACCTAGTACCATGGGAGTTCATATCACCCAGAATTAATACTGGGGATGGAAGAATCGAAACTAGATTCCAGAGTTGACTACGGCTAATGGAGGTTCTTGGTGGAACATATACTGAAGCTATGTAAAGGTCTTTGTTCTTCACATTTATTTGGCAAGCGACGATTTCGACGCCTGATAGAGCAGGAAGGGAAATTTCGTAGAAAGGGTAGCACTTTTTGATCCCTAAAAGTACTCCTCCATAAGAATCGTCTCTATCCAGGCGTATAATGTTAAAATCGTGGAAGTTGAGTTCTTTATCGGAATAAAGCCATGTTTCACAGATAGCAAATATATCACAATCAGAATTGTGAAGTAAAAATTTGAACGAGTCTAGTTTAGGCACTAGACTACGGCAGTTCCACTGTAGCACAGTGATCTTATCTTCAACCTCGTTCGACGAATTATCCATCGAAAGATATGATTGATGCAAGGAGGGGTCATGAAACAGTCAATTGCTTAAGATATGATTCTAATGGTGGAAGCAAGGCAGAAACTAAGCTTCTAAGAGGGTCTTGTATGTTGAACATATTTAATATGAATTCCACAATGTCCGAAAAAACTAGCAAACCTCGTTTGGACTTGGGTTTCTTTTGAGAAGTTTGAGGAGCAGCTTTATTATTTTTCATATCTTTGTTGGGCAATGGTGGAAAATTCCTGGTTCAGCTGGAGCCTTCGGTTTCGTTTTTTCATCCCCATTACCCTGGGAATATGCCAATCTTCTGGAGGTGACTTTAGTTTTTTTACGGCGCACTTTCGGGGAAGGGCATTTTGTTTTTGTGGATCCGTCCATTTTTGAAGGTGCGTGTACCACCGTAGAATCACCTTCATCGGATGAGTCAGAGTCCGATTCTTCAGCTGACAAAATCGAAAATTGGTTTGCGTCTTGGACGGCTGATGCAGCCTTCACCATTTGAGCATATGTCTGCTTGGAGCGTCCTGAGATTGAAAGCTGCACTTTATCGGAGTGCTGCTTATACATCGGGCACTCCTGCAAGGGGTGAGGATTCTCGCCACAGTAAGCGCATTTTACTGATTCTTTGTGGCAAGAATCCTCTTTGTGGTTTTCACCACATTTGCCACAACGAGTTTTGTTGCCGCAATGGCTGGCCGAGTGTCCCAGCTTTTTGCAGTTGGTACAATTATAAACTCTCTGTACAAACAACCGCACCGTAAAAAAAGTACCATCAACTTGAACAAAGTTTGGGAGAACTGAACCAGCGAAAATCACCCGAAACGAGTCTGAATGCTGATAAACTTTCTTGCCATCTTGTAAAAACACTGAATGCAGTT